TGAGATCTAAGGATCATGGTTCAAAGCCAGCCCAGGCAGTAAAGTCCATGAGACTTTTATCTCCAATAGACCACCACAAAACTGGAAGTGGCACTGTGGCTCAAGTGGTAGAGTGCTCTCTGAGCTGAAGAGCTGAGGGACAGCACCCAGGCCCAGAGTTCAAGCCCCATGACCGACAAAAAAAAAAAAAAAGAGAGAGAAGCGTACTTGTAAATGTGAGCTTTAGTAAGTCAACTCCAAATTTATGCTCAATAATTTGATATAACAGAGAAAGCAAAGGACTAGAGTCTGGTGGACTGAGTTACAATGCTCACTTCTAGGTAAACTTCCGTCTGACTGACTGGGCTTCCCATGGCCTCTTGCAGACTTTTTTCCACACAGTCCTAGGGATGGCTGCCTATACAGCCTGGAGAAACTGTGGAACCTCAGGGAAACTATCAGTCAGGCCCAGTCCACAGAACTGCCATGAGTATCTCAGGAACGTGAGAGAGGCTGACTCTGGCATGTCCTCAGCCATCGCTACTCTGAGAACACTGACGGAACGCAGCAAGGAGCCGAGGACAGCGTGGCTCAATTCGAAATAGCTACTACTATTTTCTAAATCACATTAAAATACCAATTGGATGTGCCAAATGAAACTGACTGATCTAACACAGGTGCTCGCAGACGCCTGGCCCAGCTCAGCAGCATCGGATTTCTCACAAGTGAAAGCCTCTAGAGCTTGTGAGAAACGCCAGTCCCGAAACCCCCACCCCAGATCCCATAGATCCGAGGCCCCTGAAGTGGAGACCAGCAATCGATTCTGATGCCTCCAAGTGACTTGATTCCACCTGAAGACTAAGAACAGGTATAAACCTAACGTCTTAAACAAAAAAACTTTAATTTTTAATTTTTAAGAACCAAAATCACTGTGTTCTACTTTAGTAAAGCAGTTGCTTCAGTAGCGATTTGTGAAATCAGTAATTTAAAAATCTCCTCCTCACCTGTGGCTCTGATTTACTATCACTGCTCAGTGGCCAATCAGTGGAGCAAACACTTTTTTTCTGTTCTCTCAAAAAGCACTGTGTACTCAGCTCGGGCATCAGAATTTCCTTCCAGCACCAGATCAGAAAACAAAGAATAGCATGATTGATTCTGTGGAGCCAGGAAGTCCTTGGCGCTGCTGTGTGTCCAGGGCACCCTGGCACGGTCATTTGAGCCCTCCAAAGTCACCGTGCAAGAGAGAAAGCGAGCCACTGGTGTGCCAGGCAGAACCCAGCTGGGCTCTAGCCAGCGGGTGTGGCCCAGGGCTGGGGTCCTGACGCCCTCCTCTCCACGTGCACCAATGCGTCAATTATAACTCAAAACAAAGGAAAATCAGGCAAAACTAAGGTGACACTACAAGGTGTTGTGGAATTCATCTATCATATGGTGAGAACATATTTAATGTGACACAGGAATGTTCTTTCCACTGTAGCTTTCATGGGGGTGGGTCCTCTGTACACTGCATATAGAGACATCACCTAGGAACTACTTGTCTTCTTGAATACAGTCATGCCCTAGTCCCACTTCTGGTCCAAATAAGCAATTCAAAGGAATCCCTTGATCTTTGGCAACTGTTAAGCACCTGTTCTCCCTCAGTGGCATTTGAATCTTAGGTGTGTAGTCCTTGTACCACAGGCAGCAAGATAGAATTACGTGTGACCATCACAAACAGGTAGTTCACAAAGAAGGAGCCCCTTGTGTCAGACAGGATGGACGTAAATGCGCCTGTGGTAAGAGAATGTCAGCAACTTACACGCAGAATGGTTCTCCAGTAAAATCTAGCCAAATGCAGCCAGTGTATTTCCAACGGTGATCGGCTCACTGGAATGACAGCATCACAGCTTAGACTCTGCTAAAGAGTAACATGGGTGTGTTCTTGCCACCAATAGCTAACCTAGAAAGGGGACTGCATGCCAAATAATCCACTCTATTCAGTGCAAAGACAGAGAAGGCAGACACCAGCGTGTTAACTGGATTTGACTCTCACAAGTTCTCTAAAGGATGAATCAAAAGGAAAACACTGTTGCCAGAGCAATGAGTTTAAGGGTAGGCTGAGTCATCAAACACAGACACTTAAGATTTAAGACATCTGGAAGAAATCCAGTGGCATCTGCTCCCTAAGGAATGCAAATTTTAATTAACCAGTCTATTTACTTTAAATAAAGCTGTACTAAACACTTCTTGAAGAAAACATCGCCTCCTGAAATCCTTCACCTAACATTTCAGAAGCAAATGTCTGTACTCCAGAATCCCCACTGGCCGTGGACTGTCTTAGTTCAGTCACAGAAACCTGAATGGCAGGGATTCACAGCAAACTGCCAGAACAATGAGGAGGAGAAGAGTGAAAATGGTTCCCCCCGGAACCACAGGCGGATGGCAGCAGGTCCGTGTGTGACGCAGCCATACTGGATGAGAGCGTTGTGACTTTCAGACAACTCAACCAAAAAGAAGAGGCAGACAGAGCACTGGGGGCTGAGCCAGATGGAAGAGGCCCCACCAGGGGGATTCTGGTAAAGCGAACACTGAGGACTGGAAGCCACCAACCCGCTAGGACAATGGAGAATTGGAGGGTAAGAGTGACAAAGTGCTCAGACCCCAAATCAGCCCCGAAGGTCTGAGCAGGGAGACAGGGAAAGGACAGAATAAGCTCGCCTTATTCTGTGGCCATCACCAGCCACGCAGGGCCCCAAGACACACACGTCTTCGGCCACTTTTATGTCAAGAGTCTCTGAATCTCCAACTCCATCTTGTCCTTAAAGGAACAGAGTAAAATGACAGCAACTAGGGAAAGGCAGGGCCGTGTGTAAGGGAGGTAGAGGACACTTTCCAAGTTTGTATGAGGTCAGCGGGGCAATCTGCCACTTAGTGAACCTTCAGCAGTGTGCTAAGGGCTACGTGCACAGACCTAAATGCACACAGCAACCTGCCGTTATCATCACATTTCTGGCTGGGGCATAGGAAGGCTAAGCCTGTGAAAAGAGGAAACTATAACGCTGGAGTCCCACCAGCTCAGGGCAGGCCTTCTCTGGGCGGCATGGACAGAACACTGCATCAGCACTCTATCGAGAAAGGGTCTCCTGAATTTTGCCTAGGCTGACGTTCTGTGGAACCTCAGTCCCCTGGATCTCAGCCTCCTGAGTACCTAGGGTTACAGACACGGGCCACTAATGCCAGCCCAGAGAGAATATTCCTTCTAGGCCAGTGACGGGTCCTAGGCATGAGTAACACTGCCTCCATCCTCAAGCCACTGCCTAGTATCTGGACATTTCTACTGAAGGTCGTCTCCTCCTACCCAGCCCCATCAAGTCCCCAGGGAGGGGTCCAGTCCACCACCCGGCCACCTCCAGTACCTATGCTCCACATGGTAGGAGAGGGCCTGCTGCGCCAACTCCCCACCCCCACCCCAGACACCCTGGAGCCTGCTGGCCCAGGAGCCACAGATGGCTCTTCACAGGAGAACAGTAATACTGGCACTCTCACCTGCTCCTCACCTCTGCTTTAGACTGTGGGAGACCCCCTCCCTCCCACCACCAGGCACACGGTCCCTGGGGAGACCTGGTCCCTTCCACCTGGGTGCAGGGTGGTCCCCGCAGGACGAGCAGGCCTGTGCAGAGGGCGGCCAACCTCCTTCACAAAAGCACCCTAAAGCGGCTTTCAACTTCTACTCTGGGGACGCCCAGGAGACACAGGCCCGGAGTAACAGACCTGCCAGCAGAGGCCACTCCCAGCTCAGCGGGGAGCAGCTGCCACCCCCCTGAGGAGAGAAGGCGCCTGCGAGCAGTGCAGGCAGGGAGGGAGGGAGGCAGAGCTGTCAGGCCTTCTGATAAGCACCTGAAGTTTTTAAAAGCATCATTTCTAGAGGCTCTATTTCTGGTACCACTCTTACGCAACATACAGTTTAAATAAGATTTGCTTAGTCTACCTTAAGCATACAACATGCTTGAAATAATATACTCACATTTATACTTAACATGACGTTTTGTATTAATATATAACTGATATAATCGTCTCTTCCCACGGAGGCGAGACAATGAGCAGCTGTTAGCTGTGAGATCCTTAGGGCGCTTTTTATTGGGAAGTCCTGAGATTGCAACTAGGGGCCGGGCTCTGCCGCTTAGCCATGTCACCAGCTCTCCATCTGAGGACTTAGAAGGCTTCAGTGGGATCCAACTCCATGAAACGATTTCCAAGTTTTGTGTCATATGCCTATTTTTGGAGAGTAAGTTTCAGGTTCTGAAACTAACCTATAGCTCACAAATAAACATTAATATAAGAACTACAACTAATTTTTTGTTGCCAGTCCTGGGACTTGAACTCTGGGCCTGGGTGCTATTCCTGAGCAACTTTTTCTCAAAGCTAGTGCTAGTGGCCACAGAGCCACTTCTGGCTTTTTCTGTGGTTAATTGGAAATAAGAGTCTCATGGACTTTCCTGCCTGGGCTGGAGTCAAACCTGATCCTCAGATCTCAGCCTCCTGAGTAGCTAAGATTACAAGCATGAACTACCAGTGCCCAGCACAAGAACTACAACTAATTTAAGAACTAAAACTACTAACAACCAGGAACAAGAACTGTAGACAGAAGCCAGTCCCTGGGCCAAGCTAACTGCAAGAAGTTATTTTGTTCTCAGCTCATCTTCTGCCTCCACATAAACCTGACTCCAAAACTTGACTCGAGAAAGAGAAAGAAAAAAGATGCTTCTAGAAATGCAGCTTTTCCATGCCCTAGCATATAAATATTTACAGATTTCTTAAAATGCAGAGATCTCTGAGTCCAATAATCATAGGCCTTATGGACACACTGTGATTAGTGGTTTCTACCTCCATCATTGCCCACACACCAATTACAGAAGTTTACCAAGCACAGGAAATACTATCGCTCCACTTTCCATTTGCTGCTCAGAAGCTTCAGACCTATACACTGACTAGTGCCCCACAGAGCCACACCCTTCCACGATGTCAAAGAAATAAAAACTGACCTTCATGAGATGCTGGTTTATCCATTTTGTGAAAGTTTTCTTTTGGACTTTGTCTCGCTCATCTGGAAAATGAAAATGAGATAGAAAATAAGGGTGGTAAGAGTTATGCATAAGAGACTCTTCACCTGTGCAGATGAATGAACACAGATGTGCAGAAGATAGCATTCAGCATGCACAAATTTTCTTATAAATTTCAGCAACGCAGGTCATGTATAAGAAGACAATAAGGGTTCTCTCTTCTGTGCTATATCCCTCAGCACTACTCCATGAAGCAAGTACTTGTCCCCACCACCACGAGGTATTCGCCCTATTCTCTAACTTCAGGGGAGACTGTGTGAACCTTCCAGAGCCCCTGAGCAGTCAGCTCCACAGCAGCAGGAGGGGCAGTACCAGCCTCAGTCAACAGAGACCAGGGCCTACCTTCTTTTGATCACTATGGCTGTGTGGTGGCAGCAGCTGCCACAGGCTCAGAAGTGCAGCTGAAAGCCATGCTGATGTGGGGATGTTTCCAGCAGGAGTTTCTTGAACAGTTGCCACATGGACACTAGTGCAACAGCACACAGGGTCTCCAAGTCCTGAGGCTGCTTCTAACACTGACAACCAGCCTCAGAGACCAGGCCCAGTGCATAAGCAAGGGAGGCTCCAACACGAACATGCTCCCATCGCCTGGCAACAGTGAGGAAAGAGCCAATGTGCACTTGAAGCTCCTGCTTAATGAGGAAAGAGCGAATGTGATCTTTAGGTTCACATTTAAAGCCTCAACTTTCCTCAAGAGCATAACTTAGGGTCGGGGAGGCATTTTCGCCTGGGATGACTGTGATTTAGTCTGCACACTTACTACTTCAAAAGGGAGTGTTCCCTATGACACCATCTAATTTTCCGATTGCAGGCCTCGATTGATTCCTCCTGTCACTTCAGTCAGGGATGGCTAACGCTGAAATTTATATTTGGGGCACTTGCTATTATGGCAACAGAAAGAAATCATCCCATCTAAGACTACCCATCTAAGCTTGGAGCAGAGTTCCACAACACTGCTCTACTTGAAATTATTTCATTTTCAATCAGCTTTAACTGAAAGCACAGGTTTATGTTTGCCTAATAAAGTTCAAAGTAGTTGGAAAAATATAACAGTGAGTGTAAATAGTAATAATAATAGAATTTAGCAGGAAAATGACAGGTTTAAAGAGCAATGGTTATTCAAACCTACATTGTTTCAGTAAAAGCCAATCAAAGCTAAGTGCACTTTGTTCCACACACCATCAATACTGAAGTTCTTCACACACACACACACACACACACACACACTCTACACCACTCACTACCATGGGAGGGACAGATCTCCAAGTGGTCGGATTCCATCCCAATTACTGACAGCCCGCCTTTGGCTCCCCTCCCCCACGTAAGCCAACAGAGGTAATGCCAGCCTCTCCCCCAGCGGGAAGAGTGCAAGTGGCAGGGCACAGGCACCGGTGCTGCCCCTAACAAACAGGCTCAGGACAGGCCGGCAGAACTACTGACCCTAACAAACAGGCTCAGGACAGACCAGCCCTGGTGCTGACCCTAACAAACAGGCTCAGGACAGACCGCAGAGCTACTGACCCATACAACACATCAGCTGCACCAGCTTGGCACTCCAGGCCTGGTCTTCTCTCAGAAGCTGCCCCATCATTCTCCGGGATCTACAGTGGTGACCTAACTCCCTCCCTACACACAGGGTGCGTCAGAGCCCAGCTAACTGTGTGCAGAGAGGAAAACTCTGACTAGACACTCCTACTTACAAGCTTAGAACTAGTCAACACCCCTTTCAAGCAAACACAGGCAAAAGCAGGTTGCTCTACTGTTCTGTCAACCGTAACTACAAAGAATCCAAACTGTCCTTTCCCTTTCCCCTCACACGCTATTGTACAAGAAGCCGCTTCAAAAAGCAGAGTTTTGATTCTTTGTGTTGCTGTGCCATGAGGCAAGCATGAGATGTTGGCTTTTACAGCTGAGTGGAGTCCTCCTGTCCTCACGGAAGCCCCAGGCAGATTGCTCTGTGGTAGAAAGGGACACCCAGCCCAACCTGTTTAACTTAGCCTGAGGTGCTTGCGACGGACTAGATGCACCAAGCTCCCCTTTGCAGGCCAGACATCGCACTCAGGGGAACATCACTGCCAAGAGTTCCTTTATGTACACTTGAATCTTACAAAAACCTAAGATTCTAACATCTATTTTTAATCTAAAGATCTATCTCTAAGCTGGGTAATAATGTGAAATTTAGAGTCTGGAGGAATTAAGAAACTCAAGACCCCAACACCTGGGTGGGTAGGCAGACAAGTGGGTGGCAGGCACGCCCAAGTCTACAGCTAAGTGAGATCTTCAGTCTGATTCTTAAGTCTCTTCCTTATTGGTTAAAGAGAACCCCCTAATCTAAAAACAAGGAGGCTTCAATTTGCAAGAACATCACTCCTGAACATGAATAAATGATCCAGGCGGTATCAAGAAACAAGAACCCTTGCTCTGAACACGCACAGAGCGGTACCACCAGTTTCCTGTCGTCCTCCGACACGCACAGCAGCCCTTCCTGTAAGAAAATGTGCCAACAGTCCTGAGAACCAATAAAAATGGCCACTCCTTATCTTCAGCAATAGGAAGCTGTATTATGTGATCATACCAAGAGAAGATTACAGCTAGATTAACTGTCACCAGCGCACTCTGAAGAAGCACGCGGGTGCTGCCTCCCCTTGCAGCCGTCGGCCTGGCTGCGCTCACAGCTCTAAGCACCTGTCCAGGCACCCCACATCACTTTTCTCATCATCTTATTCCTTCTAGAGCCCGCCTCTACCAGAGAAAGGCTCAGGAATACAGCAACGACACACACTTTCGAGCACATTTAGTATCTGCAGTTGTTCTGTTACACACATAACTCACACACACCTTGCAAATTACAGTCCTAAAGACCCTCACCTACTCATGAAGAAACAGAGGTACTGCATGCCTGCCTGGGGGTCACCATCAGAGCGGGGATGGAGCTTGCAAAAAGCAGACACAGAGTTTGAATTTCATGCTTGGGAAGCAATGTTCTGACAGTTTTTATTTATTTATTGTTAATAAAGAAGCAACTTTATTGAGAAGGTTCCTACACTGACCGGCCAGGGCTGCAGCACAGGCTCGGGAGCTGATACTGCGACTTCTGACAGTTTTTAAAGGAATAACTAATTCATAAAATACAGTCATGGGGGGAGGGCGGGGGAGGAAGAGATGGAACTTCCGGAACACATCAGTGACTGTGTGGAGGAGAGGCAGGAAATCCACGGAGCTGGAAGGAGATCTGTATGAGTAAGGACTGGGCATGGTTTTAATTCTGGCAGTGTTAGGGCTCAAATCTGGGGTCTCACACATACCAAACCAGCGTTCTAGAACCTCGAGCCCGAATTCAGTTTTATCATCAGAATATTTATCAACATATACAAATCACTCATGAGTAATGCACATATGAGCACTGTGTCATACACACAATTTTTGGGTTTTGTAGGGGAAATATTAAAGAATCTGTTCTAACTTCTTTGAACGTATTTAATAGTTGTTTCCCATCTACCTGCGGTATGGGACAAGCCTTCCCTTCACTGCAACCCCTGCCCACAGGACTGTGACAGGAGGGGCAGCCAGGTGGGCTGAGCAGGAGTGGAGGGGTGGGGAGCCCACACTGTTCTAACTGAAACTTCTTCCCAAACGTTCCCACTGCGGCGGTACTGTTGTACTTTCCTACTGCGGCCCCTTCCTCCAGGGGTCTGACTCACCAGGGTGGGGCTGCAGACTGGGAGGCTGCTTCAGCCTCTGCACTTCAGTCACAGCCTGCTCTCCGCCTACACAGCCCATCTCAACTCACCAGTTACTTAGAGCCAGGTCTGTGCAGGCTAAGCACCCAAGCCACCACTGACTACGCCCATAGCGTCCCCCACCTAACTGTGCTACAAAAAAGATTCTCACCAGAAAAATTCTACTAGTTATGTCATCAAACTGTATATCATAAAAGGTTTGCAAAATTCAGGACACAGGGCTGGAATGGCAACAATGTGCTTACTAAATTCTTAGCTAAGTTATTGTAAAGTCCTGTATACAAGAAGCCTACAGCTGATCTCACAATGGTGCTGTCTGCTGTAACTGCTTCCTGCATCTGCAGACCCCACTGCTACAGCTGGCACAAATGTATGGAATGAATACTGGGTAAATCACTTAGAAGACACAGATAAAGAAGGATTAAGGTCAGAGCAGAGGGTCCCCATCTGGGTGGACTTGCTCCTAAGCAGATGGCTGTGGTCAGGTCAAGAATGCATGCATGAATGAATGAATGAATGAATGAGCAGCATGCACAGATCAGGAACTAGGAATTCAGGCAGGAATTTGCCTGCTTGACATTCAATTACCACAAAACTAAATGCAGTGTGTTTTCACTGGCATCTGTCACAAATCCAGAGACAGGACAAGGGCAGAGAATGTGCTAGGTAAGCTGAGATGTACAACAATGGGCGGCGCAAATCTCCCCACAAACGCCTTTGTGTATGCCCTCCATACCATCACTGGCCACATCCCCTGCCTTCCGGTCTGCACGGCTGTCTGGCTGAACACCAGCAGAACTGGTGGCTGAGAACAGAGGAAAAGGAAGTCACATTGTTCCCAAGACTGGTCAAGAATTCAACCTAAAACTCCTGCAGTCTACCCTTTAGTCTACTTTCTCTTACCTGAGCACAGGGAAGACAGAACACAGAGAGAGTTCTAATCACCACAACACAGTTTCCACACTTCAGTGCGTGCCATCATCCCTGCCTTCCCTGTCCCCGTGGCCGAGATCCCTGCAAAAAGTACAGTTTTGTTCTTAAAACTTTATGAGAGTGGCGTTTCTTTCCAGATCAGAGGCCTGGTGACAAATATATCCCAAAGTACACAGATAGTATACACATGGATTAGAACAAATTAACATTTGCAGACCAAAGGCATCTAAAATAATCTGCTGTATTTAGGAATATCTTGGGTAATATAGGGTTTCTAAAGTCTTTAATTGTGAAAATTACCATTCTAACCA